GTGGGTGCGTGGGTGGGTAGGTGCGTGGGTGCGTGGATGCGTGGGTGCGTGGGTGCGTGGGTGGGTGGGTGAGTGGGTGGGTGGGTGTGTGTGGTGTGTGTGTGTGGTTTGTGTGGTGTGTGGGGTGTGTGTGGTGAGTGTGGTGTGTGTGTGTGTGGTGTGTGTAGTGTGTGTGTGTGTGGTGTGTGTGGTGTCTGTGTGTGTGGTGTGTGTGTGTGTGGTGTGTTTGGTGTGTGTGTGTGTGTGTCGTGTGTGTGTGTGGTGCGTGTGTGTGTGTGTGTGTGTGTGTGTGGTGTGTGTGTCTGTGTGGCGTGTGTGTGTGTGTGTGCGGTGTGTGTGTGTGTGGTGTGTGTGTGTGTGGTGTGTGTGTGTGTGTGTGTGTGTGTGGTGTGTGTGTGTGTGTGGTGTGTGTGGTGTGTGTGGTGTGTGTGTGTGTGTGGGTGTGTGTGTGGTGTGTGCGCGTGTGTGTGTGTGTGTGTGCTGTGTGTGGTGCGTGTGTGTGTGTGTGGTGTGTGTGTGTGGTGTGTGTGTGTGTGGTGTGCGTGTGTGTGGTGTGAGCGTGTGTGCGGTGTGTGTGTGTGCCGTGTGTGTGTGTGTGTTGTGTGTGTGTGTGGTGTGTGTGTGTGGTGTGTGTGTGTGGTGTGGTGTGTGTGTGTGTGGCGTGTGTGGTGTGTGTGTGTGTGGCGTGTGTGTGTGTGGTGTGTTGTGGTGTGTTGTGGTGTGTTGTGGTGTGTTGTGGCGTGTTGCGGTGTGGTGTGGTGTGGTGTGTTGTGTTGGTGTTGGTGTTGGTGTTGGTGTTGGTGTTGGTGTGGCTGTTGGTGTTGGTGTTGGTGTTGGTGTTGGTGTTGTTGGTGTTGTTGGTGTTGTTGTTGGTGTTGGTGTTGGTGTTGGTGTTGGTGTTGGTGTTGGTGTTGTGTTGTGTTGGGTTGGGTTGGGTTGTTTTAAGTTGTGTTGGGTTGTGTTCTGTTGTGTTATGTTGTGTTTTGTTGTGTTCTGTTGTGTTGCGTTGCGTTGTGTTGTGTTGTGCTGTGCTGCGCTGTGCTGCGCTGCGCTGTGCTGCGCTGTGCTGTGCTGCGCTGTGCTGCGCTGCGCTGCGCTGCGCTGTGCTGCGCTGTGCTGTGCGTGCGTGCGTGGGTGTGTGTCAACATTCGCGAGGTCCTTGCACCAATCATATTTCAGGTCTCCTTACAGGTCATGCTTCAAATGTGAAAATACTCCTTTCCACGGCCCTTTCGTTCCGCCACATCTCGATCCTCCAGGTCGGTGTTTGTCACCGGCCCTCCAGCACGAAGACGTGCAGACTCCTCCAGAGTGCTCGGATGTTCCAAATAGAAGGGCAGCTGCCGTGGTTCATTTAAATTCTACATTCTATAGTGTTAGATCCGCCATGGCCCTTGGGCTGCACGCGATTAGATCAGAGGAGCGACGCGAAGAGTCGCGACACAAACAAGATCTAGAAATGACTCCCTAATCCCCGCCCTACATAATCCGAACGGAAATGAAGCGGGTGGATTGGGGATCTTGCCTGGATGTGAAAGCTTGATTCAACGAACCAGTTGTGTTTTGGCTTTTTTGGGCTTGTTTTTGTGTATTTTCTGCGCCAGGGTTCTCAAACTGTAAAGCATTGCGTCTTGGCGATGGGCTGTGGGCCAGCGGCAGCAACTTGGTGCACTGGCGCGTTCAGCGCTAGCGCTGCTTAAGTGCTGGAACAAACAAGTGGTCTCCGCTTGCTGAAAAACTGTGCGGCAACGAGGGCCAGCAAAGAAGTGCTCCGGCAGGCTACAAAACATAGGGAAACTCAGGGTTGGAGACGAATTTGGAGTGTAAGACTTGCGCGGCAAGTTTTTCGGGACAGGCTTCTTTCAGACAGCCCGAGACACAAGCGTGTTGGGGAAGCTGCAAAAACGTGTCAACAGAGCAAGACACGAAAGTGCCCTCGGCCAGCAAAAAAGCAAAACGGGGCTGTTGACACGTGTGACCTCGAACTTAGCACGTGTGTCTTGTTGGAATGGCTTGTAGCGTGAACGGTGTTACTTATATTACGAAGTCATTAAATATTGCCCTGTCTTGTCATGAGTTGAATGAAACATTGGCTGCTCTTGTTTGCATTATGTTGCATGTCTGTTCTGTACGTATTGATTGATGTATACATGAATGTCAAATGTATATATATATATGTATATATATATATATATATTTGTGCGTGGTAACCCCCCATTCATATACATCTGTTGCATGTCTAGGCTGAGGTTTGGTCAGAAAACGCAAAAGCAACACAAAAGTAACAAAGGAAAAAGTCTGGTGAAAACAAAAAAACCACAAGCAAAAAGGAAAAAATGAAAATTCGGAGCCAGTGGCCCAAAAGCAAAAAGTGTAAAAGTATAATTCTGGAGCCAATGACCCAAAAGTACAAAATAATAAATCAAAACAACACTTTTTGTTTGATTTGTTTTTTACCATTGTTACTGTTCTACATGTTGACGTGTGGGTCATTGGCTCCAAAGTGTCACCTTGTTTATATACTTTATTCTATTGCCCCATATTTTCGCTGGTTTACTTTTGGACCATTGGATCCAGTATTAAACTTGTTTCCTTTGTGTTCCTATTTTTGGTTTTGTCCCCCACGGGGTTGCGGTGTTCTCAAGATCTGGCGTCGTTAATCAGGTTTTGTTGCTTCTGTCGAGATTTGCTTCCTTACTTTCTTGCTAAGGTGTAACCGTATACGCACACGCCTTGCTTCGATATGCATTGACATCTTTTGCTGAGCACTTGTACCAACGCAGTCAGCGACCTCAGTCTAGATTAGACTGCAAAGAGGTATCTAAATGAGTTGAATTAGTTCCTCACAAGGCTGCATACAAAGCTCCATGCCGGGCTAGTCATAAAGGTCCATATGAGGCTCCTTTTGAAGGCTCCTTGTCTGTGCGCAAATCCTTTTAAATCCTTCTAAAGCTGCTTGCATTCTTTTTGTAAGGCCTCTCATGAAGCTCTTTAATAAAGCTCCTTAAATCCTGTCAAGGCTCCTTATACGAAATAGGGTGTTGATTACAAAAAGATGATCTAATGAAACAAACAATTATATACAGAGTGAGAATGGAATGTAAAAAAGGAACTCCTGTCCAAACGTGACATCATGCTAATATGTTGCTTTAGTCAATTTCGAATTGCAAATAGCAACTCAGATTAAACTTCTCCCCGATTCAATTCGGCTTGAATGGAAAGGAATACCTTTTTGACATTCTGTTCAAACCCTAATCAAATCTGAATTGTTGAAGTCCTCTTGGGCATAAAGAGCCTTATAAGGAGCCTTATAAGGAGCCTTATAAGGAGCCTTATAAGGAGCCTTGAGAGGAGCTCTATAAGGAGCTTGGTTCACCTGCAGGTTGCATATGATTTCTGTCTGTGTTCTGTTCCATCTGCAATTTCATATCAACTCCATTCCAATTTTACATAGAACTTAGAATGCGGTTCCATCGTGGTAAAATTCTATTCAAATTGTTCGAAATCCGTTTGGACGAGGAAGCCATATTTGACTTCTAAACTAAGATTGAAGTTCTGATTTAGCTGTTTCCCTATTAAACTCTACTAATGTCTTTCAAAATTGGTTCTTAAATAAGTAAAATTTAAGACTTTGTAGCATTTGCTAAGCAGGAGGCATTTATGTGGAACTTGTAGATGCGACGTAACACGGACAGAGGTGACCCTGACTTGTTTGGCTTCATATAGAACACAACACTAATGTTTTGTGCCCGCTGATGGTACAATGACACAATACAGGTAGATCGAAGGGGGAGTTGGGGGGGGGGGGTCAGCATCCATGTGCTAAGCTGATGCTGGCCAAGTCGCATGGGGCAATCCAAATAAAGCAACCGCAGTCCATCTCCAATATAGCCTTCAAACAGCAAAAAGGTAGGATATATGTGTATTGATCCACATATATATATATATATATGTACATGTGTATATATACATGTACTGATCTACCTAGGTATGCACGCATGCCTGGCTGTCTGTTTGTACGTATGTATGCATGTGTGAATGTATGAATTTATGAATGTATGAATGTATATGTGTATGAATGTATTTATGAATGTGCGAATGTATGAATGTACAAATGTTTTCCATGAGCGAATGGAATCTGTATGCTTGTGTGAATGCATGAATGAATGAAACAAACAATGTCTGAATGTATGTCTGTAGCCTGTACGTGTCTCTATTGCTATATCCCTCTCTCTCTCTGTATGTCTGCCTGCCTGCCTGCCTGCCTGCCTGCCTGTCTGCCTGTCTGTCTCTGTCTGTCTGTCTGTCTGTCTCTGTCTGCGTGTCTGTGTGTCTGTGTGTCTGTATGTATGCATGCGTTGCTATACATGGTGACTAGCATGCTGGCAGCTAATATGTTTTGCTGCCGCAAAACAAGCAAAAGGAGACAAACAACACGCAAGCTCAGAGCACGGGATCCGTCGGGCCACAACCGAGCCGATCACAATACACCGTGAACGGTCGCTGGGCGACATGTTTATTTTGCGAGGGAGGATGTGATTTGCCAGGCATTTGATTTCTGAAATGAGCAATGTACGAACAGAGCAAGGCACCCTCTAACCCCCCTCAAATATCACCGCAAGGCAACTTCCTGCAGACTGGCAAAGATCTGCGAATGTGCCTTCCCCAGAGCCGCCTGCTGATCTGCCGCCGCTTGGCGGCTAAGGGTCTCCGTCTCCCAAGCCTGCCGTGCCTGGCGTCGGCCGAGTCAAGACGAAGCTGGAACCTGTGGAATTTTCCCGTGGGGGTGTCCCACTTAAGAGGGAATCCGGATCAGCTTTGGGGTGGTTTATCCAGGGTCAGCATGTACTGCTTGCCCCTGAAGGCATACCTACCCTTTAACTCACCAACCTGGTTGCGGCACGTACCCCAAAAGCGTAGTGGTTACCCTTGACAAAAGGATCGTGCCCAAAGGTCTAGCAGCGTGGGTCTACTTCGTGTTGTTGAATAATCCTAAACGGATTAGGTCCTTTTCCGAGAAAGGTAGCAGACAAAAAAACTGCTTCACGTTAACCACCAAGGGGCCGCCGAATACAAGGAGTTTAGCCTGAGTCCAGCAATTGCGAATAGTTTTCTCCTGCAATCATAACTACATTTGGGTGTGAAGTATCCCACAACCCCCAGGCTCATGGTTTACTTACTGGCGACATCCCCTCAAAATCAGCCTCCAAATGGGTGTTTCCGCACCCCCAAAATAATTTGTGAGAACCCCTGAACATGCTACCACCAACCCCTGACTTTGGAAACCCTAGAAAGCGAGGGTTTAGCAAAGCCTCGCCTCTGTAGACGTGTTTGGGGTCCGCTTGAGGCATCTGCTTGCCGAGTCGCCAGCAGCTCATGGCACCGGGATAGCCCGTCCTCAAAGAAAAAAAGGGCCCAATGCAGCGCAACGATAGATGCGAGGAATATGAAAAGCCAAATTATATATATATATGTATGTCTACATGTTTATATATATATATATACGTCTACATTTATATATATATATATATATGTCTGCATGTGTATATATATATATATGTGTATATATATATATGTGTATATCATATTGTTCCCCTATCATGACTTGATTTGGTGTTAAGCATCGCACAACCCCATTCTAACCATTGAAGATCTCATGGTATTTGCTGACCACGATTCCACTACCACATTTGTTGCGAAAGGGGAAGCACATACGTCCAAGTGCACTGCACACTCAGATTTTGAATACTTTCTCACATCTGTTGTTGCGACTCTATGGAAATAAATTGAACTTAGCCCATATGCCCAGTCCGTGCACTCCGCATCTTTTCTGCAGCTGGAAGCTTCACCGTTGACTGGCTTCTCGAGCAGTTTGCTGGTCTTCTGAGCTTCTCGAGCAGCGCAACGCCTTCGGAGGTCCCAAGCTCACGACCAGATTAACCGCAAGCTGGGGATCTACCTCATCGCCATAGATGGCGCTCGCAACTGTCGGAACAAGTTGTGTGTTCATCTTACGCACAGCATTGGTGCGCTTCGTAAATGGGGGACGCCAGCAAGCACATCCGAAATCGCGGATGTGTGCGCTGCAACGCTTGCTTCAAGTGAAGCTGCACCGAGTCGCAGAAGGTCTTGCCAAGCCTGCAATGAGAGGCAGAGTCTGCCCGAAATTCACATGGTGATGTCTAAACCAACCAAAAGAGGCAACATAGCGGCCCTGGATTTAGCGGAGTCGATGGAGGCAACAGGGGCAACGCATTGTTCTTCTAAAACTCTGCGGGTACTGTGCTATCCAAAGGCAGGAATTAGCCAATAGCTGAGCACTTCTGAATGACACAGTGACGCGTGACATATCCAAAACTCTGCATATGTCAGGGTTGACTAGGGCTTCTCACAACTGCAGAGTAGAAGAAGTTGACATCCCAAGAAACCCATGTCTTTTGAGTGGCACTTATCAACACAACCTTGCCTCAGCAAACCTTGAAGACACGGAAGCAGTTGTCGATCGTGGTGACCTCTCAGCACGTCGAGCAATGACAAATGCGCATCTCAATGGCTGTAATAGCTGTGACTCGAAAATAGGGACACCCCTCAACCGCCAGGTTGCAAATCAAAAAAATGCCCTGGTCCCCTGAGTCCTTGATTTTGAGCCACACCTCGTTGACAAAAACTGGTAATTGCATTGGTTGTCTAATGCTGTTGGGGGTGGGGGGCCGAGAAGTGGGGGGCAACCCAAATTTCCCACAAAAAGCCGGGGGAATTGGACAGCCCGGTTTCCCATGCCCTCGGGGAAAGAAGTGAAACTGATCATGAATCAATGACTGCTGTAAAGGATTTAATCAGCTCCCAGGCTTCTCATTCAACTAGAGCACTCTGGGCATCACATAGATTCTAGGATTCAAACAAACAAGCAGCCGCTGCGTTCTTGAGGTCTAAGCAAAGCCAATGAGTGATCAAGCCGCCATCAAGCGCTTGTCCGGTGATGTGTCCACTGTTCGAAGAGCAGAGTCATCAAAGATGCAGGTGGAGGCACCTTGGTCTCATCACAGGCGGATCTTTGAATTTTCGGATGTGTGGATCTTTGATCTCTGGCCCCCTCCCCGCCCCCCCTTCCCCTCCCCGCCGCACCTGTTTTGTTTTTCGGACCCATTGATCTCCATGCAACACCATTTTGGCTCAAGGCCTTTCATGTCACACATCACATATGCATAACTCACTGAGCCATTGCATCCGTGATACAAAGGTGCTAGCGGACTATTTTCAGGGTAAACCACACAATCAACCAGGACTAGTCCAGCATCAATCCATAAGCATTGACACTTGGACTTTTCGGAATAGATCCAGGGACCTGTCAAAGAAAGATCCTCTCCTATTAAAAGGTATCGGTTCCCTTCGCGGAAAAGATACCCCTGACAATCGGCCCCAATTTGTGGCAGCGGAGCCTGGTTTTCCGCAGAGATCCAAACAAGATGAGACGTATGACGGACAAGTCAGCTGGTTTAGATACGAAGAACTCGTAGATGATTGGGTGACCTTCACCACCATCGAGGCATCCAAGAGAGGACCACTCCTCAAGAGCAGACTCATCAGATCCTGAAGAAGGAGTCAACTGTTTCAAGAACACGCTGAAGAAGTTCTTCCTGAACGGCTCGACGAACGTGTACTCTTACAGACTTCTCAGTTTCTTCAATCACAGAAGGCAGAACACCAAGTTCCTCACAGTCACATCAAAATATTGAAATTCTCTTGATGAGATTGAAGGCAGCCTGGATTGGACTTGATGCCTGTTCACACGGCACAGTCACCAGAGTTCATCGCATCAGTCACCGGTGTCAGACGCCTCCAGATCTGCTGTCCACAGACAATCCAGAAGTACTCAGGCAGTACCTCAACGGCATGCAGACAAGACACAAGGACGCATTTCCCCTCAGCGACAATCTTATTGCAATTTTTTTCTCAGTATCATGATCTCTTCATTACAACCAGAACATCCATCCAAGATCCATCCATCCGACCTTTTGGAGGAAATCGGAGTAACACCTTCTACATCCTACAACAACAGCCATCCAGATCAAGCAGTTGTCAAAACAAGCATTCCAGGTGCTTCACTGGCAGGAAGACAAATCCAAGATTCGTTCGACGGAAGCAAAGGAGGAATATGGTTCAGAGGAAAGTCATTTCTCTGGAAGGAGCAATGGTTGGACTTGACTTTGGAACCCGACTCATTAAAGTCAACGTGAAGGATGAGACCATCCACCCGGAATTGATTTTTGTTGCCAGATGAGCAAGAATCCTTGCAGAAAGAGCAATTCGGATCCTCGTCCGATTCCTACACCAACTCCTATGCCATCAACCTCCAAACCATTACGTATTGCTGGAAAGACGACTCCCAAGCCTGCAGCACCAAGACTTGCAGAGAACATGTTCGTGGAAGACATGACAGGCGCACTGGGACTGTGTCCATACAGGGAAGATCCTCATTGCAGGAAGTGCCAGATTCAGTCAATGCTGTACACTCTCAGGTCTAAAGGTTGGGACACCAGTCAACATTCGCAGTGGATTTGACGTAATGACATCCAACGGACGACACATGGTCATGGAGATCATCAAGGAGCAAGTCCTCATGGCACCAGTCTGTGGACCATGGGCAAAAATGCAGAACATCCAACAAGACCAACAGAAGGGCCGATGGTTGAATTCGTGGCATGCAATGCGCGATATCAGTTAAAGCACAAGAGATATTTTATCCTCGAAAATTGTCAGACATCCAAGATGTGGTATGTGCATCGCACGCAGCAACTCTTGTCAGATCCATCAGTAACTTGGGGAGACTTTCATTTCTGTGCATACGGACTAAAGGATCCTGAATCCGGACTCAGAAGTCTCAAGCCCACAAGCTTGATGCATTGCTTACCTTGTGAGGCAATGAGACCGATTTTCCGGAGGTGCAAGACTTTTACCAGTTCAAAAAAACACCAGCGTCAACCCCTGGCACAGGTGTACCCTTACCAGTTCTGCCAGGATCTCCCGCATCATCCTGCGTCACCTGCAGGTGAAACCGCTTGACAACGAAGTGTACCTTCTTGAGGACATCTTCGGGCCGTTCAGCAATCAACAGATTGACCTTCTCAGGAAAGAAACGGAAGCCATTGACAAGGAGTTAGTTCAACATGACTAGCAGCAGCGACGCGACCTTCCTTAATGTTCCACCACTGGTCATCCAAGATTCGCAAGTCCAAACGTTTCAGAAGACCGTGAAGCAGTACGCTCCGGGGGACTGAAATCGAGATTTTTCGTCAGGATCCAAACGACTGGCGATGTCAGAAAATGTGGAATGGTTGCAAGAAGTTGAGACAACTGTGAATCTCATCCACCCAGTACGATGCGTGCGCAGCATATGTCCACACAATTGGCATCAACACGCCGGTCACATCACCTCAGGACGATGCGCATCGCGTTGTGGCAACCCGATCAGCTGAGCAGAATTTGGGTCGGAAGATTAGAATCCGAAGTCGTGGCAGTCATGCTTTCGGATGCGCCAGCTATCAAGCCAATGCTGATTGAGGTGGATCCCTTGGATCCACCAGATGAACCCCCTCAGCCTGACCACCAGCAGCCACCTGATCAGCCGGATCAACCTATGCCAGATCGAAGATCTCCGGACCAAAACACATGTTGGATCCACCAAAGGATCCTCGAGATCAGCCTGATCAGAATGATCGATTCATCATCCCGTGCCACCGGCACCGCCAGGTGTCTCGCCGGACAGTGCAGTAGATCCACCGCTGCCGCCTCACGACAAGCCGCGGCGGTCCCGCGGGCAAACGGCAAAAACAGTCCATTTCGTCCTCAAGCGGTGGGGCGTGATCCGTCTCAGCCGCAGCCATCTCAACCGATTCTTCTGACTGTCGTGGTACCTTCACCTCCAGCAATCCTGACGAACCCTGCAGCAGAAGATAATGATGAAGAGCTTGAACTGCCTCACCTTGAGCAAGAGGAAACAACTCATCCAGTGCAGCGCAGTCCATCAAAGAAGCAGAAAACTGGGAGGAAGAAGAAGAAGAAGAAGAAGCCAGGTGAGAATCAAGATCCACCTGGATCGTCTCCCAGAAATGAACCTGCATCTTCATCCAATCTCACGCCATCCGACAGTGAGGAAGAACTTCACATTGGTTTAAGTCTCCAATTGTCTTCTAAAATGTCTGGATCTCCGCGCCTCGACACATCAATGTTGTACGTTGGCGGCTGATGTTGTCAGGATTGATTGGACAACTCTTCGCTCCAGTTGGTGCGAACAGCGCCGAACGCGTGATGCGCGCACGGAGAAGCTGCTTGTTCTTCTTGTCAAGTGTCGAACGATCCTGCTTTAGAGACCCAATGGTTTTCGGAGTTGCTGTGTCTCC